TGTGTGTGTGTGTGTGTGTGTGTGTGTGTGTGTGTGTGTGTGTGTTTGTGAGGTGGGGGGAGGTGGGTATTGGCAGCTGGGAACCCCAACAGTTGCTCCAATGAGCTAAGGTCTCCCTCTAGTGGGGGAAAGTGGAAGTAGCCTMAAAATGTTGGACCACAAATATGATTCTTACGTCCAAGCCTCAGTGTTGATTAACTGTTTGCATAAAACAAAATGTATCTTCAATAAAACACACATAAAATCAAAACTGTTCATTTTTTTTTTTCAAAATGTTCTGGTGTTCAGTCCTGCATGACCAAAAGGTGGATGTTCTCATTCACTGGTTTGTAGTTTGACACTTTGATGTTTTCTTCCAGCCAGAATCTAAAAACCAGATTTAATTTTTGTGCCAAATGAAATCAAACTAGTTTAAATAAAAAATATACTGAAATGGCTGCACATATAAACATATGAAAAAAAATCTGGGCTTTTTATACTTTCCTCGAAGAAAAGTTCAAGCAACTTTTGTATTTTCAGGAGCAAAACAAAGTACGAAATAACATTATCCTAACCATTGCATCATGTGTTACACTGCTTGAGATATGATATATAAAAGCATTTGATAAAATACAATAATAAGATATTCTATTGTACATGATATTGTGTACTACACAATAAATMATAAATACAGCCACATGTTCAGATTCAGACAGGCAGTGAAGTTTGAGTTATTTTCAATTAAAGCAAAACAATCCYAATCACTTTTTATTATCACAAAAACATTTACAGATATATCACAGAAGCAATGCACTTCAGTTTGAAGCATTTTAATCCAGACTTTGTAACTTCAAAACATTAAAGSTAAAACTTGAACATTTTCGTGGATTTTCAGCGTCTGTGTGCGGACTCTTATTCTGAGTAAACAGATAAAACTAAAAAATAAGAAGGATAATGAATTTTATATAAGAAGTTAAACATGCACTGCTTTATGATAGTGTGAAAGCTTATAAAACATGCACACTATTGAAAAAAATGCTCTGCACATTTTTTGGCACATATCGCTTTCTGCAATTTTTGTGCTATTTTATCTCTGAAAATGTTCAGCTCTTTCAGGACACTGGTGATATGACTTTTGGTATTTTAGCAATTTACTTTTTGAGATATTTAGCTATTTTGGCCATGTTTGTCCCATTGAAATAGAAAGGAGCTGTCTGAAACATATTACTGCACTTTTCACCGTTTGTTCTGGTTCTGCTTTTAGTCAACTTGTTTGTGCTAATTTCTGCTTCCATTTAGCTGATTTTAGTTTTTGTTCTTCACTGCTGACCTGTTTTTGAATTCTTATACTAATTTAGATTTTTGTGCTTCTCTCAGCTTTTTTTCTGTGTTTTAGCTACTTTTAAGATAATTTGCACTTTTTTTGCTCAATTTACTTTTGAATTGAATTGAATCGAATTGAAT